CATCCATCCATCCATCCATCCATCCATCCATCCATCCATCCATCCATCCATCCATCCATCCATCCATCCATCCATCCATCCATCCATCCAGTTTTGTTAACAAAATGCAGAAATTCATGTTAAATTTTTAGATTTCTGCTTTTAAAAATTTGCTCAAATTTCACATAAATCAGGAAATTTTGGGTTGGAATATTTTTGACCTGAAAGGGAACTGTTAAAATATTTTTAGTGGATGAATCTCTTCTGAGTAAAGAAAGATGCTTCTTGAATTATTATTATTTTTTAAATCTAGTTATTCTTTAGTTAGATGTAGTAAACAACTCAGTCAAGACCTCCCCAGCATCTTCTAAGCCTACAAACGTGATGCTACTTCTCTGTCATAACAACTTAAGGTTTTTAATTTAATTGAAACTGACTGATTTTTTTTTTCTTCGCCTGTTTAGAATCCCAATATTCCAGTCTTGTTCAGTTTGCCCAGGGTGCTGCAGTTACTGGGTCTCTTCTACACAGGCCTCCTGCCCTTTGTGCCCCTGAAGGAGCAGTTTCTGGAGATCCCCATGCCCTCCCTAATAACCAAGTGAGTCGGTGCAAGTATACCGTACATGCCCTTATGCCTTTAAAATGGAAGAACTTACGGTATATAAAAGAACTGCATAGTAAAACCTCTTGCAAAATTACAGGAAGGGGAATAAAAGATATTTAGGTCTCAAAGTAGCATTTTGTTTTTTATTTTTTTTTCCCCTTTCCTATTTATTCAAAATTAGAAATTTATATGGTTTTAATGGGTCGTGGCAGGAACTGCATGGAAAAGGATTAGGGCCACTCAGAAAAAAAAAGGTTAAGAAAGGCCTTAGAACAGGCAGATATATCCCAGAATACTTTGCGAAGAGAGATCCCGTCGCAAAGTACTATGGAATTTACTGTCACAGCGGCCCACCGTCGCCATAAGCTGTGGCTACCCGACAGCAGTGAATGATAATAAAGATGGCGCAGGCACAGCACGGAGGAGGAGTTCCGTTACCAAGCGGAGAATAAAAAGCTGTGATCATCTGTCCAAACGGTCAGTTAACTGAGTTTGCCAAAAAGTCCAATTTATAGTCCCCACTGTAGGTGGACATGGTAAGCTTGAATGAGCTATGAGAACAAAACATTTTAAGCAGGGCGTGCACGAGGAAAAATGGGGCTTTTTTTCCCCTTTTTTTTAAAGTGGAGGTGTTCTGAGAGATGAACCAAAATAATAAAAAGTGGATCAGTATGTATGTTATTGATTGTTTTTGAATTTTAAGTTTCTTTCTGAATTTATAAGTATGCTGCACTTATTGGGTGGATTTTCATGAATATGTTTTTTATTTCATCTAAAATTAAGTATTATGAAACATTAATCACTTTTTTTTTTTTAAGCGTGTTTACACTAAAACATTTTCCTTTTTGTGTTTTTTTTTTTT